AAATTGAAACCTGAATACTAAACTTAACGTTAATTTTAATAGAGATATTCTACTCCATCAACAAATTAGAAGTGGCCGGCTAATTCATTAAAAATGAATCAACTATGAACAAGCATCCCTATATTTCAATAGAAGGTTAGGGATGTCCTGGACAAAACCAAAAAAAGTACTTCCTTCCTTTCTTAAAAACATTTTTACAACTCAGTACTAACAAAACTTATAACATTTCCCTATAATGCAATTTAGTAAAAAAATGTATTTTGATAAATAAAAGTATAGATAATAAATATTTAATATTACATTTGTTTCATGAAAAAAAATATAATTTTTAGCAGAAAATAAAGATTAAATAAAGACAATTCGAATGAAAGCAAAACGAATTTAAATAAATTCGTCTGAAAGCTCCAGCAGAATTTCAAAATCCACTTTGAAGCGATAATGTTAGTGTAGGTTTCTATTCTCGCTGATAGTTTGAAAGCATTTTGCATAATTCAACATAGAATAAAATATAGTCTTGATAAAAGTTTCTTGTACTTCTTTCGGCAGCTGAAATCGAATTCATAGAATTGATTTTCGCTGTCGATTTTACTTCAGAAAGATCAAACTGACAATTTTGACAGGCTATTATTTTAGACGTGTATGTTACAAGGGAAAAAAACACTTTTAAGATTGCAAAATGTATTTAGTTTATTTTTTATTAAAATAAGTATAAAATATTCAGATAACAAACGTACCTTGATCAGCTTAAATTCTTATTTTGTTTCTTTGTAATTTTTATTTTCATTTGTACTTTGCCCACTTACTTCTGTAAGCCTCATGTTATACATTGTTTGTTTAATAAAACGTAATTTTAAAAAAAAACCTAACTTTAAATGTTTCATTACAACGTAAGTAGGCCATTTGCGATGGACTACTTTATAACTCAACTTAAACATATTGACTACTTAAAGAGGAATAAGTAATTTTCTTTACCATATCTTATTCTCACATAAACGTGATTTTCATGTTGCGCAAGTTATTCATGCATTTCTTATATATAATCTATCAGAATAATTAAAAAATTTTCGGTAGGACTTAAGAATTTACTAATTAAAAAAATACCACATACATCTTGAGAAATCCGAAAAAGGAAGAGGCACCAAGTAATAATAAATAAATAAAATTGGAATTATTTTAGCTTGAATGATTGCATCAAAATCTCTTGTTCAGTTACATATTTTCAAAATCGTATTTTTACAATTCGATTTCTCAAGAACTATTCGACCGATTTCGCTCAAATTTTGTAATTTAAAATTACATTCTTTAAAATGATGTAAAAATTGCGTGTCTTACAAATCAATTTCTTTTTACTAGTATGACTAAAATTATAAATATTTACATAAAATTATATTTTTTAGCGTAGAATCATCTTTGGATAAACGAATTATATAATTGTGTGTAAAAATTTTTTATCGGTATATGGCTAAATAAGCAAAGAAGTAAATTTAACACTATGAGGTTAAAACGTTGGACTCATTTACTGACCAAACTATTGTTACCGTATTTCCCGGATTTCGGCTACCCCCATTATTTTAAGTGTCAAAAATCGAAAATCCGCTCAAAAGGGTATGTTTATTCAGCGAAAGTACGTTTTTACGCCCGATTTCGTAACTTAAAATGTCACCTGAACTAATTAATTAGTATATTTCAGGAATTAGTATATTACCTGAACTAATTAATTAGTATATTCCTTGAGCGTGAAGATCCAATCAATGGATCAAAAGTAATTCAGGGAGTTTTTTTTCTTTTATTTTATGAACTGATCATGATTTTGGAATATTGATCGAAATGGTTTTTTTATTACTTTTTTTTCACCTCGAACGAAGAACAGGTATTTTACAAATAATACTATAAAATAATACTTGATTTAAATTATTACAAAAAATTCTGTTCATGAGAGCTTTTTTCTGGCCCTATTATCTTCCCTTATATAACAGTTCCGCTTAATAATAGAAAAACAATCTTCCAGAGAGTATCGGCTTCACTCCCTTTAAAAAGATTTGTGTTCTCCCCAGACGAGCCTAAATTAGGAATAGACAAGCAATTACATCAATAATTAAATCCGGGGTTCTTTTTCAACCTGACTTTTACAGCCTCCACAACGAGAGAGTTTAGTCTAAAAATACAACACGAAACGGTCTAACGGACGTGCTCTCCTATATCATTAAACCAATAAAAACTGAACTGCGCACTCAAATTTAATTTGGTGTAAAAGAAATTGGAAGAAGCTCATAAAAATTCTTAAAATATAACTTCCCCATTTCATTTCAAACTAAAAAGATATTATATTTTTACATTTCGTTTTTTTAATTTGACAACATAAGAAAGGAAAATAATCATTAAATTTTACAACATCATGCTGACTATTGCATAAAAGCATCTTAAATACAGAGAATTTAGGGATTTTAAATCAATCAAATGCAAACATTTACTTATATTAATTCTATAGATTTAAATTGGCTAAAATATCTTCTATTTCATATTAACATTAAATAAACTTGAGTATATTAAGTTCATACTGATTTTGGTATTATAATTTTGAATATCAACAGATATTTATTTTTAGTAGTAGTAATAAAATATTCTTAGATTCATTTAAAAACTCAAGCAATCGATAATACAGGGTATATCAGTATAGCCATTGCAAATTTAATGACGATAGGAAATCACGTAGCAATGCATATCGGAAACGCTTTCATGGCGCAGTAGTAAAGAAACAAAACACATGAAAAAGAAGACACGAACGAGAGGATAAAACATGTTTTTAATTCTTATCACAGCAAGAAAAACTAGATTTAGAAAATGTACTTCACCAACAGTGTTCTCGATGAAGCAACAAGGTTTTGCCGATTTTAAAGATTTATTTTAAAAACTTTTTTCAACTGTTATTATATAAAAAAATCATCAGAAGATATTATTAATGGAGGAGACAACTGCACAAAAGAAATTGCAAGACGTATGTCTGATATCCAAAAAGATATCTTAAAAGAAGAGTCGAAACGAAGCGTTTTGTGATTGTTGCGCAGCCAACAGGCAATATTCTGCGGACAGGCTCATAAAAAATATTCTGAGATTATAAATCATGGCAGATTTGGAAAATTTAGATGCTCTTCGGAAGCCAAGTTTTGGGGAAGAAATTAAAGTTCAGCCAACCTCTATAGCCAGACGTACAAGCCTAACAGGATCTGGACGTAGAATTTCAGCTTTTCATCCTCTCAAAGTGGCAAAAAATGGTAGTCAGGATAAAAAGAAATCTAAGCTTAAAAATAAATGTAATGGTAAATCACATGGTAAAGGGGCGCTAAAGCTTTGTTACTATGAGGTTAAATCTGACAAACAATTATTACAATTGATTGATTGTAGAGTTTAATGGCACAAGATCCAAAAGAGGACATGCTGCGCCAAACAGTTCGTTAATGCGGCTTAAAATGTAAAATGCTTAGTACATTTTTATTTCTATAAAATACATAAAGGTAATAAAACCGTCAATAACGAGATGAATATATTTAAAAGTCACTAAAGTCCAATAAAAGGTGTATTTATATAAGGTAAAACGGTGAATGGATAATAAATAGGAGTAAATAAAATCAGATAAGACCTTCTATATACAATATAAAATACCAATAGCTCGCAGAAATGCGAAAATGTTAGGATGATGGATTTCACCTAACAAATCCTTCAAACATAAAATAGTGCTGTTAAAAAAGGTAATACGATGTTGGTTAAAACAGGGACAATTGGTTAAAATGTGATGAAGCGTAAGTAAAACGTTACAAGTGTCGCATTTGGGAGGAGGTTCTCCAAATAACAGACGAAGATGGGTGAGTCGAGTGTGGCCGATTCTGAGACGAGTAAGCTTTACATCTGCACTACGTCGACGCAATACTGGTATATGATTGAGATCAGATTTTATATTATATAGTTTATTTTGAGTTTGAAGATCCCAATGTTGTTGCCAAAGAGATACGATAATCTGCCGAATATGTAATTTAATATCTGAGTATGGTACAGAAATTGTTAAGGCAGTAGTGGCAGATCGTGCTGCAGAATCAGCCAACTCATTTCCTGGTATACCGACGTGACTCGGTATCCAACAAAATAAAATATCAAATCCCTTCTTGTGAAGAGCGATTAATAAATGATTAATGAAGCATAAGATTGGGTGAGTATCGCTGCCAAAACTTTCTAGCTGGTTCAAAACGCTCTTACTACCGGAGTATATAAAATACTTTCGTTCGGAGAGTGAAGAAATCAGCCGCAATGCCAAAAGGGTGGCAACAGCTTCCGCAGTGAAGACGGGACAAATATCTGGGATTTTGTAGCTCTAAGTATCATCAGCAATGATGACACCACAGCCTACATATCCCGCCGATTTTGATCCGTCAGTATATACGGGTACATACTCAAAATATTGGTGACGATGAGAATTGAATATTTGTTGATAAATGAGGGATGCTACATTAGATTTACTGTACAACTTAAAAAGGGGATAAAACTGATATGGTGCGATGATCCAGGGTGGTATGAGAAGATAATCTACTGATTGTGTTGGCACGTCACACATGTCAAAAGTTCGTATGAGAGAGCGCACACGAGCATGAAATGGACGGACTTATGAAGGTTTAGCGTCATACAATCGTTCCAAGCTTGATGGAAAGACATCATGTTTTAAAGGGTGAGACTTGCAGGATTTCACACGATAGTAATAGGCTACAGACAACTGCATGCGACGTAAATCGAGAGAATTGAATTGAATTGAATGTAAGATATAATGGCACATGGTCCAGAGAGGACATGCTGCGCCAGACACACGGTTTTAAAAACATATTAAAAGGTAGAATAGAGTACAATTACACAATCAATAAGTATAGTGAAAATGATGAAAATTCTAAAACAGTGTAAATACAAGTATTTTTATATGTGGATAAAACTTGATAAAAATGGTAAGCGTGATAAATCACTTATATACTGTTTAAAATAGCAATAGTGCGAAGAAAAGCAAAGATGTTAGGATGATGGTTTTCATCTAACAAGTCCTTTATGCATAAAATGGAGCTACTGAAAAAGGTGAGGCGAAGCTGGTTAAAACATGGACTAAGTATTAAAATGTGATGAATCGTGAGTAAAACGTTGCAATCGTTGCATTTGGGAGGAGGTTCTCCAAATAGCAAATGAAGGTGAGTAAGTCGAGTATGTCGCAAGCGGGTGAGTTTGACATCTGCCCTGCGCATGTGCACTGCAGGCCAAGGCTCCAGAGTAGGTTTAACAGAATGTAATTTGTTTTCACCTTGCAGGTCCCAGTAATGCTGCCATAAACACTGAAAAAGTTTGCGAATGTGGTTTTTTAAATCAGAAAATGGGACAGATAATGTTATTGGAGAAGAGGCAGATCGTGCAGCAGAATCAGCTTTGTCATTTCCTTTTAATGCCTACATGACTGGGAATCCAGCAAAATAAAATTTTATAACCCTTCTTATATAGAGAAGTCAATATATGTTGAATAAAAATTAAAATTGGATGAGCTTCGTTTCTCACATGTTCTAACTGTCTTAAAACACTCAAACTATCAGAGTTTATACGAAACTTTCTAACCGAATGCGAAGAAATGAGTCTTAAAGCTAACAGGATAGCAAATGCTTCCGCTGTAAAAACAGAGCAAATTGCAGGAATGTCGTAGCTGTAAGTAATATCAGCCACAACAATCCCACAACCAACATGTCCAGGGAACTTAGATCCATCTGTAAAAACTGCTATGTATTGTATATACTGATGACGATGGAAAGTGAACAGCTGTTGAAAAATGCTAGGTGAGACATTAGATTTACTGTATGACACAAATGAACAATCAAGATAATATGATGAAATAGTCCATGGTGGGATGAGAAAATAATTTACAGATTGCGATGGTATATCACAAAAATCCAAAGTCTGAATGAGTGATCGCATGCGAGAGTTAAAAGGTGGTATATATGAGGGTCGTGCATCATATAATCGTTGTAAACTTAGTGGAATAATCTCACGTCGAAGAGGGTTCGATGAAGATGACAGGACGCGAAAGTAAAATGTTAAAGAGAGCTGCATGCGTCTGAAATTGAGAGAAGGTTGATGACACACAGCATACAAACTCTCAACAGGAGAAGTGCGAAATGCTCCACTACATATGCGTAACGCCGTATGATGCACCGTATCTAGACGTTTTAAGTTAGAAGCAGAAGCCGTTCCATAAACTGTGCATGCATAGTCAATGCGCGACAGTATAAGTGCTTGGTAAATTCGCAATAGCGCGGTACGGCCAGCACCCCAAAACGTGTTAGAAAGCACCCGTAACATATTTAGGGATCTCTCGCATCTTTTCCTCAATTGTTTTATGTGAGGTAGAAAAGTAAGCTTATGATCGAAAATGACTCCAAGAAATTTTGTTTCCATAACGACTGGTATAGCAATGTTATGAATATGAATTACAGGATCATTGTGAAGCTGACGTTGCCGACAAAAATGTACATATGAGCTTTTGGAGGGTGAAAGGGTATGGCCATTCTCATCACACCATTTTACTATTTTTTGACAGCAAGTTGTAACTGACGTTCGATTACTCTCATGTCAGATCCTGAGCATGAGACATTGAGGTCATCAACATAAAGTGAGCCAAAAACTGTAGGGGGTAGAATGTTTAAAATGGAGGAAACATGGACTATGAAGAGTATAACACTCAGAGCACAACCTTGTGGAACACCTTCAGATTGGATGTAGAGATCAGAAAATGTACTACCCAGTTTAACATGAAAATATCTCTGACTCAAAACGTTTTTGATAAACATAGGTAGGTGACCACGGAGGCCCATATTAAACAATGCCTTTAGAATGCCGTATCTCCATGTCCGATCGTACGCCTTCTCAATATCAAAGAAGATAGAGATAAAATGGTTACGTCGGACAAGAGCATTCCGGATACGTGTTTCTAATGCAACAATGTTATCAATGGTCGACCTGTCCTTCCGAAAACCACTTTGAAAGTCGGGAATGAGTTTTTTCTTCTCCAGAAAGTAAACCAAGCGAGAGTTGACCATAAGCTCAAATACCTTGCTGAAGCAGCTAGTCAGAGCTATTGGGCGGTAGTTTATTGGTTCCGTTGGATCCTTACCTGGCTTTAAAATTGGTATCACAAGAGCCAGCCGCCAACTTGATGGGTATATCAGCTCCGTCCATAATCTGTTAAAAAGTAACAGGATATTCTGCAAAGATGCAGAAGTCAAATGGCGAAGCATGTGATATGATACACCATCAAGGCCGGGGCTCGTATTGGGTGCTTTTGACAGCGATCGCTGCAATTCATGAAATGTGAAGTTACAATTATATTGAAATTGCCGTCGAGTCGCAAACTGCAGCGTCTGGTCTTCAAGTCTATGTTTGTGAGCTTGAAAAGCTGAGCTATAACTATCAATGCTAGATACGGCAGCGAATGTTTCACCCAAGATGTTACTCACATCTACAGGGTCAGAGTGCGTGATACCGTTTATATCAAATACCGGAAGATGGAATTCACGGTAGATACCATTCGCTTTCTTAACCCTCGACCAGACTTGTCTGGGAGATGTTGTAGATGTGATGGATGAAACATAGCGTGACCAAGATTCTCTCTGGCTTTGACGCCGAATCCTGCGTGCAATCGCTTTAGCTCGTTTAAAATCGACAAGATGGTCCGTTGTAGGATACCGACGGAAGATGTTCCATAGCCTCTGCTTCTCTTTGTGAGCTGCGGAGCATTCAGCAGTCCACCATGGCTTGCGATGCCGGGGACGAGAAGTTGATGTTTTTGGTATGCTACTATGTGCAGCATTGATGATCACAGAAGTCACCGTTTCAACAGCAGCTTCAAGATTTTCATCTGACACCATATCTTCTGTAATGTCAGCAAGCCGTGCGAAAAGCCTCCAATCAGCACGATGGTAAATAAATGTAGAGGGTCTTGTAGTGATAGAAGCAGTAGGTGTATATGAAACAATGATTGGGAAATGATCGCTATTATGAAGATCATTATCAACCGAAAATTCTGAAAAGGTTAAAAACGCAGGTGAACATAAAGCAAGATCAATGCAATGAAAAGTTCGCGTTGGTTCATGAAAGTGAGTATCTTCACCTTGATTCAGTAAACATAGATTATGATCATGGATGAGCTTTTCAACTTGATGCCCTCGAGCATTTGTGTCGGAACTACCCCATAGTTCGTTGTGACCATTAAAGTCCCCAAGCAAAATGAAAGGCGTAGGCAGCTGATGAATTAATGAGTTTAAATCATGTTGTGAAACTGAAGCATGTGGAGGTATGTAAATGGAACAGACTGTAATCGTAATGTTTATATGAATCTTAACTGCAATAGCCTGTAATGACGTTGACAATGAAAGACGAATTGATGTAAAACTTGTTGATGTTAAAATCGCGACACCACCATTAGGTCTACTACCGGCATCATGGTCGTTTCGGTAACATGCATAATTATGAACATTAAAATTATCAAATGATGTTAAATGAGTTTCTTGGATTGTAAAACATGATGGGTGATATTTACAAATTAAATCTCTGATGTCAGAGATTTTGTTTCGCACACTGCGACAATTCCAAGAGATAATGGAATTTGCCATTATCCTTTGGATTTAAATTTTGATTTAGACGTAACATCCATCGGTGGGTCGTCGAAAATCGATTCGTCATCCGATGGATGTAGTGTTATTTCTGTATCCATCTTCTGCAAGATATCTGAAGTGGACTTTTTAACGATTTGTATAAATTTTGGATCTTTATTCTTTTTAGGGATACCTGGTTTCAGGCTAGGTGGCAACTTTATATTCGAGCGCTGCTTTAAGGCAGGACGAGGCTTTTCAGGGGATGTCATTCGAGATGTTTTTGGAGGTGGGGATTTAGATACAGGTCTGCAAGAAGTAGATGGTCCGGTAAAATTAAATTGTGGATTTTGTTTTGTTAGTTGTAGGGTAGATAATATTGAGGAATCTGTCTGCGTACTTAATGTGCAATATGAAGTTTTAGCTGCTGCAGAATAGGACACACCCGGACGGGGAGTGCGGGCAGTAACTATTCTGCGGGCTTCGTTAAATGTTAAGTTCTGTAATACTTTGACTGACTGGATTTCCTTTTCTTGCGACCATTTCGGACAACTTCTGGCGTAAGCTGCGTGATCACCCTTGCAGTTGATGCAAAGAGGTGGCAGCTCGCAAGAAGTGTCTTCATGGTCTGTACTGGAGCAACGGGCACACACCGGTCGACCTCGGAAAGATGTTTTTGAATGCCCAAACCTTTGACATTGGTAACAACGCAAAGGATTTGGGACATAAGGCCGAACCGGGCAGTTAATCCAAGCCATTTTAATTGCAGTTGGTAATTTAGCAGACGCAAAAGTAAGGATAAGGTGCTTCGTAGGGATGAGTTTACCATCCCTGCGAATCTTTATCCTTCTAACAGATGTAACGTTTTGAGATTGAAGGTTATTTAATATCATGTCTTCTGAGTCATTTATGAATTCTGTTTCTGATATGACGCCACGAGAGGTATTTAAGGATCTATGAGGTATTAAATGAATTAAGGATCTATGAGGTATTATATTAAATGATCACATGGTGGTGTATGTTGACAGAATAGTTGCCTGTTTTGCAGAATAGACATCAACTAAGAGGTCACCAGAGCGTAGCTTTTTTATTGAGGCAACTTCTCCCAGAATGGAAAGAAGAGCCTTGTGTATCAGAAATGGAGATATGTGGGCAAATGAAGTATTAGGTACGTTTGGGTTTGTCAGAGTCATAAAAAAGTAACGAGCGTTATCACATGGTGTTAAGAATGTTCCGCTGTTTTTGCATTGGTGTGCGGAACTCAACACCGTACTATCTGCAGCCATAGAAAATAAAAACAGTTCTACTACTAGTGGCATCACCCACCACGGAGTCCTACTAAGGGGATGCAAGTAATATAATTCATCACTTGACACCGATGCTAACCAATAGCTATACGTC